AACGTCCCTAATCCAATCAACAAAGGCCAACTAAGATCAATGCGTAAAGTCTGTAAAACCTACAAAAACCCTATTCGCCGCTTGCTGTGGCGAATTGTCGGGAATTCACACAGGGCAAACATTTTTAGCGACGACAGATGGGCCGGCCCAGTTCCAGCTTTAAATAGTGCGCCTAACCGATTTTGGGAACCTTCTAGCAGGTTCCCTGGACCGGATTTTTTCCTGTGTATTCTCTTTTTCGGTTTTCTTTCGCATTACATTTTTTTCTGCTTCTTGTTCTGTTTATCTTTCACTTTTTGTTTCTTTAATTTTTCCTTTTTTGAATATTTTTATTTAAAAAAATGTTCAAAAATATTCTAATATACCAAAATTCCTTCAAAATTTTCACAAAATGTTCCTGTTTTCAAGTTTTGATCGGAAATTCAGAAAATATTCAAATATTAGGAAACTATTTAGAATCTAAGACAATATTCACTTCTTTTCAAAAACCATTCGGTAATTTCAGCCAAGTTTATAATTTCGAAAAATGTGTAACATTTAAGAAAATGTTTGTATTTAAGAAAAATCGCAAATTAAAAAATGTTCGGTAATTTCAAAATTTTATCTTTTCCAATATTTGTTCAGAAATTCAAATTTTGCTCATATTTTTCAAAAGTTGTTCGCAAATGTAAAAAATGTTCATGGAATTTCAAAAAGTGTTCTACGAATTTCAAAAAATGTTCGAAATATTAAAATTAATCCGTAATTTTGAAATATGTTCGATTTTTCAAATTTTGTTCCTTTTGTAAAAACAAATGTTCTGGAAATCCAAAAAAATTAATAATTTCACACATTGAACAATTTTTCCAAAATTTGTTTGCTAAATAATAAAATGTGGTGGTATTTCAAAAAACTTTCATTTTCAAATAAAATGTTCAAAATTTTCAAAAAAGTTCAACATTTGCGATTTCATTTGCCCCTTCTTTCAAAAAACAATTATATAGAAATTTCAAATTTTGTCCACATGGTTTCAAAAATTTGTTCAAATACTTAAAAAAAACTATACACTTTAGTAAGCGATTAGCCTGCGATGCCGTGGAGTTATTCGTATTCTCGTGGCTATGACCAACACTCAGATTTCGGCAAAGGACAAGGATGATATTGGGCCTTTTATCGCGGCGGATGTGTTGGTGAAGCTCAAAGGCTACACATTCACATTCAGGAGGGAGACAACAGGATACACTCCGGATCCAGACTTTGTTCCGTTCATATGAAGACGCAATGGTGATGATGTTGATGATGATAGCGGTGCAAAGAAGAAGGACGACCAGATGGACACCTCGGAACACACCAGCAACCCATCCATCAATTCGTCCTCTAGTTCTGTTCTAGTGAAAGACTTTTATGTGCCTCAAGTGCAACAACGGGAATTCGCAAGCCTTGGCCTTGGTGGTGCACCGGGAGGTGGTTCTATGATTGTTGCGGTCACTCCGTTCAACTCTTCACGCAAACACCGAGAGGCTTGGAACTCATTGCCAATCTTAGAGCCAAATCTGTGTCACGTGGTTGTCTTGAATGGTCCCGGCGAGTACACTGACAGGATTCGTCGCAGCATTCCACACCCAATCTTGTTTCACAATTTTTTTCCAGATGAGTGTATCAAACCATCAAATCTTGTTTATGAGTAGTACAGTCACAAGCACTTTCATGTTCATCTATGATTACTATAAGTGGTGATATCTAGTACCGACCATGCGCATGTATCACTTTATTATTGAAGCCACATTGCAAGAAACATTTCCTCATGATTCGATTTATAATGTAGAAGTTTCTATAATTATATGTGCCTAATGATACACAAGAAAACCACTATTGAGATATCAATCAGACCTACATTTAAGAGATATCCAGCATGATATTTAATGCTTTTAAAATATAAATGAACACACACACACACATGTATACACTATATAACTTATGTAATTATGAAAAATAATTCAAACATAATTGTTGTTACAAAAAATAAGTTTAGTATTCTAGTAATTACATTACAACCATATAAAGTCACTATATTCAATATGTGATTCTATTATTATATGACAAGGTATATAAACTATGATAAAAATAATTTAAAAAATATAAAAGTTAGTATAAAAATGATGAAACGCCGGAAAATTATTGATCTGCATAATACAGTTCATGTCAGAAATTGCATACACAGACAACTGAAAAATTAAAACTAGTCATTCTATGAAAAGTTTAGTCTCAGTGCTACCTGAAGTCAGGCAATTCTTTTTTTTATATCAGGCTTCTTGGCAAGCTTGGGCTTTTTTCATCACGCTCAGTGCTACCTCTGGGCACCCATGCAAAGGCGATTCTTTTTTCATCACACACCTGGATTGTCTATTTCCTTGATCTTGGATAGTACAAAAGAAGGAAATAGAGATTTAGTTCACTGAACCCGATACAAAAACATGGTCAAATTATCATAATCGTTCAATGAACTTCAAAATATCAAACATCTACCCTAGCAAAACAAGTCATCAAGTGGTGTACCATTTCTTCCTTGATATCAGGTTACTTGGCAAGCTTAGGCTTCAAGGTGGACATTAAAGGCTTGTTATGTTCATTCAATTCCAAATTGGTTCCAACCTAGGGCTACAACCGCCACTCATCGCCTACAGAAATAAATTTCATTACACAACATCTCTTTGCAGAATATGTAATATTAATATAATGACTTACCATGAGTACCGCGGCGAAGGAAAATACATTTCCATTAAGGTCTGACGCATGAAACCTCCCAATGCCAGACTTTATGAGTGCTCCTTGGGAGTAGTAGCATTGACAGAAATATTGATGAGAGATAACAAAATTGTAATACTCCTTACTTTCTGGTGCTACGCCTATTTGGAAGACTGCATGTCCAATGATTTTTTCCCTTCTATCACCTTCATAATCTGATGGGTTGTATGACATATTGATCTGTCCATATTTTAGACTACCCAATTTTTCCACTATAGAACATACCCACAAGTGCATCCTCAATAAGGCGACCTGTGTCGGCCTACTCAATCTGGTCACTAATGTAGTCATGAGCGTCACGCTTGCCGCCATAGCAGATCCTGCCAACGAGACTATCCTTGTGGACATGGCACATCACTCCTTCAATGGTCTCTCACCTTCCTCACATGCTTGTTCCCTCACCTCACCGACTGTGAGGCCGCCAGGTACCTTGTCCTCGTCGAAACCGACCCATCATTGTCGCGCGCATCATCATTGAGGATCGCTGCACCAAGTTCTTCTGCTCAGGCTCCGTAGCCACCAACAGCGCCCTCAGACTCACTCTCAACTGTGCAACGGTGGTCGCCAAGCACCCATGGCCCTCCAAGCTCGCTGGCGTGTGGCTGTCATTGTACTCCTCCTAGGGCACCAAAGACGTGGGCGTCGCCTTGCTCTCGGCGTTGCAGCACAATCCACCCCCAGACATTCACCACAGGTTGGCCAAGCAGATGGCATATGTCCATTTTCCTGCTCTTGGTAGCACCAACATTATTGAGCCATGGGAGCTTGCCGCCCGTCGTAGGAAGC